GAACAACCTCTAATATTAAATAAACCCTAAAAGAAAACTGAAGACAGCACTAAGCCAACTTTTGACAACAGAGTATTATTGGTGATCTGTGTGGTCTGTGTGTCCCTGTTCCTTTTCACTCTTGCTGCTCCCATTTATTTTATCCATCTTGTCAAGGACATTCATACAGCAGCAGAAGTGCCCAGAAAGCACTGTAACACCACAGGCGTGGCAAACCTTACTGGATACTTGGCCTACACTCTGGCCTCCCTGCATACAGGGTCACCCCCAAGCATCCCAGATGGGTGTAGAGCAGGTGTCTGTATTTCCTTGGAAAGGGGGTCATTATGTCTTGATAGCTTGTCCTACTTGAGAGGCTAACAGCTTATTAAATCATTTTAAGTATAAGCATTTCCAGCTTCAGTGTCTGAATTATGGCAATCCAAGGATTCAGAGGAGTCTGTGAAGCCAACAGAAGCAGCAGAGTCAGGCTGACTGCTGGAACAGGTCCTAGAAATGCAGATTCCACCCAAGATGACGAGACCAGGCCAGAGACCCCTCAGACTCAACAGCAAGGCCTCTGAAACAGTACATGCATCAAAGAGAAAGGTAAAGCACACAAGTCAGTGTAGCTAGAGGTTTTACTTAGGTGCAAGTTAAAAATGTCATAGTCACCTTTATGCTGCTCCTCCAATCCTAGTATCTAGTCAGTCAGCAAACCCAATCTGCCTTCAAGTCCACATGACCAGTTCTGCAGTTTTTACCTACCTAAGAGCTTTTAGAACCCTTAGATCCACACCAGCCCTCAGTTCAAGTTACGATCCCTGCTTGTCTAGATCACTGCACTGGCTTTTATATAGGTTCCCCAATTTGCTTTTACCTCTCTCCAATTTCTTTACCAAAATATACCTAGCAAATGGGTTGACTTTCAAGTACCACTTGAAATTTTTCATTGCCCTAGTACAATAAGATAAAAACAAAAATTCTTTAATTCAGTTATATTGACAAAGTACTAAACTATAGACCCTTTAACATAAAGCAGATATGGGGAACGACTTTTTTGTTTTTTTCTTTTCCTGGTACTGAGGATTAAATCCAGGAAAACTGGACTAAGCTATCCCCCGCTATCTCTTATGTTTTGAGACAGGGCCTAACTCCTTCACTAAGTTGCCCAAGTTGGGCTTGAACTTATAATTCTGCATCAGCCTCCCGAAATGCTGGGAGTAGAGATATGAATATATCTATATATTTCTTTTTTTCTTGAGACAAAGTCTCACTATGCAGTGCAGGATAGGCTTCAACTTGCTAATATAGGCCAGGCTGGCCTCAAACTCATAGAAATCCTCCTGAATAATAGGATTTTAGGCATGTATCACACACCTGACTCTGAAAAAGCGATTTTTTTTTTTGGTAGAACCGGGAATTGAACTCAGACCCTTGCACTTGCTAGTCAAGTGCTTATTCCACTGAGCTATCTTCCTGGCCCCTGAAAAAGCAATTTTTTAATAAACTGGAAAATGAGCAAGAGGATTGTCATGAGTTTGAGGCCAGCCTGGACTACCTAAGTGAGTTCAAGGCTAGCCTTTACTAACTATATAGTAAGACTCTGTCTCAAAAAACCCTCACAAAAACCATAACAACCCCCTCAACCAAAAACAAAGCCCACGGGCTGGTGAGATGGCTCAGTGGTCTAAAGCTCCTACTTAGAACAAGCTTAGCAAAGCACAAGGACCGCGGTTCAATCCCCCAGCACCACATGCCAGCCAACCCCGCCCCCTGGTGGGGTGAGCTGGACACACACACACACACACACATACACACATAAAGAAATAAAAATTAAAAAACAAACAAACAAAAAAAACAAAGCCCAAATGGAAAATAAACCTTGTTAATAAAATAACTACAACACTTAAAGCTGTGCTATGCTCAAGGGTCTTCACATATGCCGGCTTCCTTCTGTTTGCCATGGGGGTGGTGCCTTTCCCTCAATGAAGACTTTCTCAGGTTCCCTCCTTGAGGGCGTCTCATAGACCCTGCCAAAGCTGCCATATAAATGCTCTGGAGAACCCCTCTCTCTACTGTAGGAAAAGGATTTTCTCTCAAGGAAATCTTATCCTTCAAAACTACTATTACAGCTTTAATTAACTATTTGTGCAAGTCTTTCCCACTATAGGAGGGCAAGGATCACATTTGTTTTGTTTGCCCAATAAAATAACAGGTGTTCAATGAATATGCTGAATGAAATAAATGGCTGTGAGCTACTGTATGTGCTAACACATCCTGATGGCCACAGAGCCTCAATGAAGCTTGTGAATGGCCACCCAGTCACAGTGTGGCCACTACTGTGGCCACCCCTTTCCTTCCATGGGATGTCTAGGAACAAGATGTCTCAGGCTATGAGATGGCATGCAACATGCTGTCAGATTCTAATGTCAAGGGTAAAGTTGATGAACCAATCAAGTGAATGCTACTCATCAGTTCAAAGCTCCAGGCAGTACAATGAGAAACTACAGATTGAGTTTAAATGATTCTTCCCCCAGAATTCCTTAAATGTTCAAAGATGTATTCTAGTATGGTCAGGTGTTTGAAATCTGATTGCCTGTTAATAAGTTATTACTGTATTTAACAGTACACAGATTGTAAGTTCTCTATTATCTTAAGGCTTACTTCTGTCAAGAGAAAACAAGGAAGTTCTTCTAGTCTTTCAGTACTTACAAGCGAAGGAACTGTGAATATCTGAACCGAGAGGTCTGCGACTGAAAACTCTCTGTCGTGGTCATCTGTCACATAATCACTCTGCAAACGCTCATAGTTCTATTAAGAAGGCAAAAAGAGGCAAGGAGTGCCAGCTATGAGTGACAGAGGAAAGGCAAGCGCTACTCACCAGCGTAGGCGCGGTGAAGACTTGGACAGACAGAGCAGCCACCGACACTGCTCGCTCGTGATCATCGTCCATAAAATCTCTCTGCAGCTGCTGGTAATTCTAGACAACAAGGGGAAATCCACCTCTAACCCACAGAGCTCAAATCTGCAGAAGGCAACAGGCGAACCCTGGGAACTGTAGCTGGCATGACTTCCACCGAGGAAAAGCAAGCCCAGGTAAATCTTGCTCCACAATGGGGTCTGTGGAGTCCTGTACTGGCGCTTCGTCACCAGCCCAAATGGGGAGCAACTGCTACTACAGACCCGGTGCCACTGTGCATCGGGGAGCTGACCAGAGCCACACTCTGCAGTCTCCCACAATACCAGACTGACTACAAGAGAACCGTCTGTTGAGGCCTGCAACACACACAATTGGCCCCTGCTCAGTAACAGGAATGGAGCACAAATGCATTGGTTTTGAAGAGCTCTCTAAGTGATTCTTACGCACTGATGTGGTTAAGAGCTCTGATTTCAGTAAAATAAAACTTTAAAAAAGCAGCTAATTTAGTCGTATGCTGCTGAAAAGGAGACTCCGAAGCCTCCCTACTATGACTGCATTCTGCTGATACACTGACATGTTTCTAGGAGGTGCTAATTTTCCAGAGTCTGGTTATACTTGAGAGATACAGTTATTTTGTTAATCTTCAAAACAGAAAAAACTTACCTTGGCAAATCTCACAGCAAATAATTTCTTATATTTCAAGTCCATAAGGAGGCTGCTCATGAATAACTGATGATATACACTCCTAGCACCTTTAGACAAAGATGGGTGTCACACGAAAGATATGCCAAAGATGCATTTCCAAAGTTTTTATGTGACCAACTGTATTTTAAAGACTCAAGAATAAAACTACATATTTTCCTTAGCATATTTGTAATCTGATTATTGATAAAGTCAGGTTTTCAAAATATAATTTTTATCAAAATTTAAAGGCTGATGATAACAACATGTAATAAAAACCACTGTTAATTTCCTATTATCTTGTTTGGAAATTCTATATCGTTCATTTTACTGTTTTCTTTTCTCCTTCCATGAGGTCATGAGGTTTTTTGCGGGGAGGTGAGGAGTCTTTTAGAGATAGGATCTTGCTATGCAGTTCAGGCTGGCCTTGAGTTCACTTTGTAGCCCATGCTGGTCTCAAACTTAAAACAATCCTGTGTGCTGGGATTACAGGTGTGCACCACCATGCCCAGTAGCATAAGGTTTTTTCCCCCCTTGGTGCAGAGAATTGAACTCAGGACCTTGTGATTGCAAGGAAAGCACTGTTATACTGAGCTGTATCCCTGATCCTTTTTTCTCTTAAAAAAGACCTCTGGATTTTCTTTTTTTTTTGGTGGAACCAGGGATTGAACTCAGCCCTTGTGCTTGCCCCTGTATTTTCAAAGACTGACTACAATGCTTTTTTTATTTTGATGCTGGGGAGTGGAACCAGGAGGGCCTCACACATGTTAAATACACACTTGACTACTGAGCTGTATCTTTAGCCCTGCAATGCGCACTTTTTTTGTTTTGTTTTGTTTTTTGTTTTATTGGTACCAGGGATTGAACTCAGCACCTTGCACTTGCCAGGCAGGCGCTTATGGCACTGAACTATCTCCCTGGCCCCTGCTGATTTTAAAAAGCAATATTTATTAAGTATCTTCCCAAATGAAAAAAGCTTTAATATCCCAAATCCCCTACCTTAAAAGAAGTTAAGAGATTTATTTACCTTTCCATAATTTGGAATCACTAAGCATCAGTCTATCCACCAGAGAAGAGTTTTCCCCATCTGGCCCTTCTTGTAATCCAACTTGACACAAAATCCGGCGAAGGCCATCTTTAGGAGGAAGAGTAATCATGAGATAGTAACTTCAAATATTAAAATAAAATGATATTTAGTAAACACCCAAATGGTCCACAGAATTTTACAAGGGTTGTTTGTTTTTAATGTCGGGGTTCAAATCTAGAGCTTATGTGTGCAACTCTGCTACTAAACTATATCCTCAGCCCTTTAAAAAATGTTTTTGTTTTGAAAGGAGTCTTGCTAAATTTATGACTCATAACTGAAGTTAGGTGTAACATAAAACTGTGTTACCAATTAAAAGCATGCATAACTCCTATACTATGATATACACTCATATACTTTATTAATGCTATGCAAAATGTTATTTTAAAAAAAAGTTCACTGTGGATCAGCCACAAGAGCACGCCTAGGAGACAAATTCCCTAAATTACTAAAGATAAATATCTGTAAGAAAACTTTTAGCAAAAAATTATTTTCGTGGTGCTATTCATTAACCCTACAGAACAGTAGTTGGCATTACTACATCCAAAACTGTAAAATAACCTGTAAGATAAAAACAGTAAACATGTTATCTTAAACTTCACTGCTGTGTTGCTCATTCTAATAGTCTTCAATAGAAATGTTTTAGGACTGATCTCTACAATAACATCAGAATATCAGTTACCTCTAGTCTTCCCAGAAGAACACTCTGACAAGAGAGTTTAGCACTATTCCTAATTTCCCCTTCAGCATTACACAACAAATGTGTATTTTTTAGCTCTGGACAAAGAGTCCAAGATCACGTTACTGATACATTTTAAATTATTTGTTGATTGTAGAAAAGCGAACAAACAAATACGTATCAGTGACTTCCAATGTACAAATTTTCAAAAGTTGTAAATGATTGGTGACCAAAAGTTGGAGGAATCAAAGATAGCAACATCAGAATTTTATCATTCCAACTGCTTATCTTTTAAGTTTATTTACAATAGCATTTTCTATCATACTTTGTGAAAAGGTTCACAGCATGAGCCATTAAAAAAAAAAAATCTTAGGGCCGGGGAGATGGCTCAGTGGAATAAGTGCTTCCCTGGCAAGCGCAAGGGCTTGAGTTCAATCCCCGGTTCCGCCAGAAAAATTAAAAAAAAAAAATCTTTTCAAATTTTTTTGAGACAAGGTCTTGCTTTGTGGCTCAGGTTAGCCTGAACTCACTATGTTGCCCAGGTTTGTAGCCTCAAACCTGCAGGGATCCTCCTGCCTCAGTCACTCAGGTGCTGGGGATATAAGTATGCATCACCACATCAGGCTCTAAAACCATTCTTATTAAGTTGCTTATGTTATATTGCATATAAATATTGTTCATAAATTGTTTAACTCAATGTTTCCTGCATTGTTTGAACAGAGAATTCCTCAAATGCACATTTAAAAAGCTTGTGGGTCAAAATTAGGTAAAGATTTTCTGTGCAAAAGGATATTCTGGAATGGTTTTAAAATGTGAAATTAAAGGAAGAGATTATCCCAGTTGATAGTTTTGCCCAAAACAGTTTTGCCAGGGCCTGAGAGTTCACTTAGCAGTTAATGATGAACCTACCTGAATATCCAATGATACTCCCCAGCCAAGACAAAAGCTTCAAACCAAAATTCTGGTGTGCAACAAGAGATGAATGCATAACTTGAACTTTGAGTGGCTTCGTCTGTCTACTGGTATTTCTCTTAAAAAGAAATGACAAGATGAAAAAAATAACTTAAAAAGGACTGGCATAAAAAGTTACACCATAGGGCCAGCCAGATAGCTCAGCAGACTAAAGTGCCTGCTTAGTTAGAGCACAGCGGCCAGGGTTCAGTCCCTGGTGTGTCATGCTGGCCCTGCCCCTGGGTTGTGCTGAGATAGTGACTGAGACTGGGCATGGTGGCACATGCCTGGAACCCCAGTGCTTGAGAGGCTGAAAACAG